TTGTAAATTAGATTAGTCTGTATCAGACCCCCAAAAATACACTTACAAAAGCACTTACAAAAATACACTTACATAATTGTTCGAGTTGTGAGCTAATCATAAGTCGGGGGTCCACTGTATTTGTATAATTAACTATACTACAGAAGAGTTTCACTTTTTCAAATGAAGTCATTAAAGAGTAATCACATGATTAACCCTTTCACTGTCACAAACCCAATTCTGATACTGTCTTCCTGTGTTGCAAAATATTAAAAGCCTAGAGAACAAATGGATTTGTCAGTTAAAAATAGGAGAGGAGAGTTATTAAATGGAGAGTTAGAGGTATTGGGAAGATGGAGGGAATATTTTGAGGAATTGTTAAATGTTGATGAAGATAGGGAAGCTGTGATTTCGTGTATAGGGCAAGGAGGAATAACATCTTGTAGGAGTGAGGAAGAGCCAGTTGTGAGTGTGGGGGAAGTTCGTGAGGCAGTAGGTAAAATGAAAGGGGGTAAGGCAGCCGGGATTGATCTGCCCCTTGTGCAGATATCCAAGAACTAGCTACAAGCGGTATTAAAACAGGGAAGTGTTTTTGGGTATGCCCAAATGAGATAAATCTGTGGACTAAAATCACAAGGGTATTAAAAGAGGACAACATCAAAGCTGCTTTCATAGAAAACCTGGAAGCTTTCTACAACAGATGGGAACATAAAAAGTCTGGGCTGAATGGTACTGCCCTTGATACTGGCCATGTAGTCAGAAACTGTAAGGCTGGAGATGAAGTCCTGGTAGTCAGTAAATGTGGGGCTGATAGAGCTGTCCTGGGAGACAGTAATGGTGAAGCTGGAGGTGCTGTCCTGGGAGACAGTAATGGTGAAGCTGGAGGTGCTGTCCTGGGAGACAGTAATGGTGAAGCTGGAGATGCTGTCCTGGGAGACAGTAATGGTGAAGCTGGAGATGCTGTCCTGGGAGACAGTAATGGCGAAGCTGGAGATTTTGTCCAGGTAGTCGGGAATTATACGCAGGAAGGAATACATATAAATGACCTCATAGGGTAAGTAAGTAAGTAAGTAAATTTATTCAGGTATACACAAATACAGTTACATAGAATTATCATACATAGCAGCATATGTGTAGAGAACCTAGGATAACCCAAAAAAGTCAGACAGAGTGACTTATTTCCATTGGGGACAGGAGCCATAGTAGGGAAACAAGTGTAGTCAAAGATAAGATAAAACCAATATTGCAAACTAGAAATACCGCAGGAAATAGCAAACAAGAGGACTCCACTAGCAATAGTGAGGATATATTACCAAAAACAACTGGTGGGAGCTCCATTGTTGGTGCTAGGGAGGATAGAAGTAAGACAGGGAAACATGCACCAACAGGGAATACAGTCACAGAAACCCAAGGCAAACGGAAACCAAGCCTGTGCACATACTATGCACTTGGTATCTGCTGGCATGGGAAATCTGGAAAAACAGATGGGACGTGCAACTATGACCACCCTAGAAAATGCCATCCCCATATGACAACAGGAAAATGCAAACTCCCTTCCTGTAAGCTTTTTCACCCTGAACTGTGTACCTCTTCAGTACAGGAAAGACTGTGCATTAACTTAAATTGCCAGGCATACTATCTAAAGGGGACAAAAAGATACAAAACATCCAGGCCAGGGGAAAAACCTGGGTAGCACAGCCACTCAAGAGGGAGAGGTTTTTTAGTGCCAGGAAGGAAAGAAAACTGGCAGGAAATGGCAGAAATCGTACACCAAATCCGTCATTCCTGGAGTGGAACCACGTCGATGGCCTCCACTCCAAACCAACAGATACAGATACTAATGCCGGAAAAAAAACCCCCCCCCAGTACCAACAATACCACCATTTCCGATAACATTCTTCTTTGCAAATATACAGGGTCTAAAGCCAGCAACAAACAACAAAATCCCTTTTCATCCATGGACTGCTTGCAGAGGCAAGGCAATGTTCACAGTTTTCCCACTGAGACCCACATAAAGGATCACTTGGACAGCAAAATATGGATCCCAGGTTACAACCTATACAGATGGGGACAGAGTGAACAGGCAAATGGAGGGGGGGGGGGTTGGCCTGTACATTGCAGAGTCACTTGTTTGCACAGAATGCTTAATGCCTCAAATGATGTAGTGGAATTTTTTAGCAGTAAGGTCGAGAACCAAAACCTAGTCATTGTGGTAGTCTACAAGCCTCCGGATGCAACACCCCAGCAATTCCGGGAAACAGCTGTTAAAAATTGACCACTGTCTGGAAAATCTTCCAGCTCCTGCACCCCAACATCTTGCTCCTGGGGGATTTCAAACTTAAGGCACCTAAAATGGAGGAATATAGCAAATAATATTGTTGCAGTAATAAACACCAGGAGGCAGCTCTGATGAAAACTCACACTCACACGAGCTTTTAAATCTCTGCACAAATTCAATTTAAACCAGCAAATAATAGAGCCTACTAGACTGGAGAATACACTAGACCACATCTTCACTAACAATGATGATCTGATAAGAAGTGTCACCTTTATCTAAAGCAATATACTCAGATCACAACATAATTGAGGTTCAGACATGTTTGCGCGGAGCCCCGACCGACATAATGAATTAGTCACTAGGGAGCATTCACCAAATTCAACTTCAATAACAAAAACATAAAGTGGGACCAAGTAAAACCCAAGTCCCAACCGATATAAGCTGGGAAGATATACTAAGCAACACCCGACCCCAATTTTGCCTAGAACAGATTAACTCGGTGGCACTCGATGTATGCACAAGGCTTATTCCTCTAAGAAAAAGGAGGAGTAGATGTAAAATAGAAAGAGACAGGCGCTCCTTTAAGGGCGACGGGAAAAGAATAACAGAGAGGCTAAAAGAGGTCAATATCTGAAATGCGTAGGGAGACACTGGTCAGGAGAAATAGCAAGCATCGAACTTAAGCTTAAAAGAATCCTTTAGGAGTCAGGAATTTTCGGGAAGAACTAAAAGCCATAAATGAAATCGAAAGAAACCCAAAGTATTTCTTCTCCTATGCCAAATCAAAATCGAGAACAACGTCCCGTATTGAGCCCCTACTTTAAACAGTGGGTCATACACAGATTTACAGCAAGGAATGAGTGAGCTAATCAAAATCCCAATATGACTCAGTTTTTAGCAAGCCGCTAACCAGATGAGAGTCGAAGATCAAAATGAAGTTTTTTATGAGAGAGCCACAAAAATTTTATTAACACAGCCTATCGATGTTATCCTGACGCCCAAAAGACTTCGAACAGGCGATAAATGACTTTCCCCTGCACTCTGCCCAGGCCAGACTCATGGAACTCTGTGTTCATCAAGAACTGCAAGAAGCCCCTATCACGAGCCGTTTTCCATCCTATGGAGAGGGGCATGGACACGGGGGTCGTCCCACAGTTATAAAAAAAACAGACATAGCCCCACTCCACAAAGGGGGCAGTTAAAGCAGCAGCAAAGAACTACGACCAAAAGCACTAACATCCCATATCATAAAAATCTTTTAAAGGGTCCTAAGAAGCAAGATCACCACCCATCTAGAAACCCATCAGTTACACAAACCCCGGGCAACATGGTTTAGAACAGGGCGCTCCTGTCTGTCTCAATATTGGATCACTACGACAAGGTCCTAAATGCACTAGAAGACAAAAATAATGCAGATGTAATATATACAGACTTTGCAAAAGCCTTTGACAATGTGACATGATAATAGCACACAAAATGCGTGCTAAAGGAATAAAAAAAAAAAAGTGGTCGATGGATCTATAATTTCTCACTAAAGAACACAGAGAGTAGTCGTCAAAGAGTAAAGTCGAGGGGAGCTACGGTGAAAAGCTCCCGTCCAAAGGAAAAGTACTCCTCACATCTTGGTTCTCATCCTCATATCACATAGACTGGATGTCAGCCACGCACGTGTTTCCTTTTTAGATGCAACCCGAATCTGCTGACAGTGTCTCCATTTCGGCACTGCAAAGGTCCCGCGGACTTTAAACCAAATTTTAGGGGTCGAAAACTTGAAATTCCGGAGAAATTTCAATTATCAGATATGGAAACGTGGGAAATTTAAAACTTTATCCGAGTACAAAACAAATTCTGGCCACAAAAAA